GAAGATATCATGGGACGATATGGACTGGAAGAAAGGAATGTGAATAGCAAATGATTTGCAAATTTATATATAACTTCAACAAAATGGTTATAGGTCGATGTACCTGCATCCTAGGAATATCTAAATGATGAGACCCATAAAGTAAAAAATACGCATCCTGGATTCTGCTTCTAGCCATATTACATCTCTTCTACACCACCAAGTCGTAGACAGTAACTTAGAGAGGTTTATATCAAACTAGGAGTATCTATAAAAAGATACTATTTATCAGTTACTAGTCAGTTAAACTATGAAAAGAAACTGATATGATTAAAGTGTATATAACATCATTAAACGACATGATTCTATAATAAGGTGAAATAGAAACGATATTTATATAATGAGTCCCAAATAGAACGAAACGCTCGTAAAACTGAATTCCACTTCTACTCACTATCCATCTTTACTTAAAAAAGCTTGTGACTTAAAGCTATACCAAGGTAGTCCACGCAGAATTCACTTAGCTGGCGGCCTGCTTGAGCATCTGGGCTACCTGTTCCTGCCATCTAGATATTTCGACAAGTTATCAATCTTTGTTTGTTTTAATATATCATTATGTCTATTAATCGCACAACCTATTCTGCTGCGTTTCTGAAAAGTGTACAACCTTTCGTTGTCAAAGTTACAAAATACTCAAAAAGAGAGAATATTGTTGCTGGCAATATACAACGAAAAGAATGTACATTATTCAGATATTCATTTACTGGACTGTTAACATCTAGCTGGTGATCACTCAGTATTTATCGCGAGGACCGACCAAGAAGAAAGAAACGGAAACTTGTTGAAATACTTTGTGCTGAGAATTCTATATTGTACCAATAATATAATATTGAATATTGAATAATAATAATATGCCAACAAGAGACTACTGATCAATTACAGTCCTAAATAACAGGCAGAAGATACAAGTAAACAACATCAAGTGAATGTAAAACTTCACCCTATTGCCGATACACACGTAAAACTGGATTCCACTCCTACCTGTTATCCATCTTTGCTTAGAAAGCCTTGTGACTTAAGGCTATATCGAGACAGTTTGCACAGAATCCACATGTGCTAACAAGGAGACTGATCATGTTAAACAACAACAAGCGATATATATATATATATATTATTTTGTAAAATATAACAAATCATCTATTACCCAACATGAACCACATGAAGATTGATCACGTATTGTTCGAATACTTGGACAATTCTTCCAATGTTTACGTGAATCAAAGAATTTTGGTAATTTAATATTAACATCATTATGATTAATTGTTGGACGTGATTTTATTCTTTGATTATTATCTACCAATATAACACCCATCATTAATTTAGCATCTTCAATTGTACTAAATCGATTAGTTCTTTGAGCTTTCCATCCAGCATTAGGCTACAATATATACAATACATGTATAGTTATTCATCTAAATTAACATTCAAAGTTGAATTTACTATACTACTTAAATATTCTTGTAAATTTAATGCAAATCCAATAAGAATTATGTATATGCTTACAAATGATTGAATTGAAGATAGATAGAAGACATTCACAATGTCATAATATATACAAGTCAACATCGTTTTAGTTAGATTCTGATGAGAATAATGAGTGGTAACCTTTGGGATCCATTTCTAAACTAATACTATATGGATATTTTGTATTGTATAATTCCTCAATAACTAAACTGTTCATATTCATGTTCCTCTTATCATAAGCTTCATTTTGACCTATGAACTATTATTATACGATTTACCATTCTTGAGTTATACCCAGTCTATTTCCACTTTTGACTAGATCTTGTACAAATGTTATCTTCTATGGTACGATGTGGTCTGTTTGGTTGATGTATATAAACCCAGTATGTTTGAAGTAAATGATTCATATTGCAAAAAATGAGATTGGTGTTCTAGACTCTAACAGGCAGAGCTAGGCAGGAAGCAGGACCAGTAAAGACTTCTTGTACGGGTTTTCATGCGTTATTGGTTCGATCGATCAATCACTGTTCTCTAATTGGCAGTATTGTTACATCATACATTAATAGGACAAAGGGCACAATTTACAACAATTGGCGACGGGGTGGAAAACAAAGGACCAAGGGCATAAAATCATAAGTTATAACAGATTGAAATCATAAGTCAGTTGAAGCTAGACCACCATGGAAAACCTGGGAGCACTGGACGGCCGTTTCGTCCTAGTATGGGACTCCTCAGCAGTGCGCATCCACGATCCCACACAACGCGGGACTCAAACCCAGGACCTAAGGGCTTCGCGCGCGAGCACTTAACCATTAGACCACTGACTCGGCATCCAACGGTGTTAATGTCTAACTACAACCAATCCACGACGTTGCGCCACCATATTACCATTGCCTTCAGTGAGCTGATATCTCACAACAGACCTGGTTGTACTCCACTGGTAACGGCTTCCCACTAGAACTCCGCGCGCGAAGCCAGTAGGTCCTGGGTTCGAGCCCCGCGTGGTGCGGGATCATGGATGCGCACTGCCGAGGAGTCCCATACTAGGACGAATTCATAATATTTCAAGGTTTCTCATCAGCTGCTTACAAACCAAAAAAGTGTGACAGAATATTTTTACATTTAGATAGTGTGAAACGATTGAGATAAACGAATGTAACTAACTGAATTACAATAATAATTATATGCTAGTACAGGTCAGGGAATTAATTCAAGGTGGGTGGTGTAATAATGGAATTGAATAATCATAAGATGGGTTACGTAATGATAATTAAATAGAATTTGGAAAGTTAAGGTAATTTAAGAGGTTCAGGTGGTGGAAATGTGTGAATAATAATGGGGTTTAAGAATTATGTAAAAGGGGAGGAGTATAAATATTCCTCGTCTGTAACAATAGCGAACACGCCATTAGCTACTTGATCTATTTAATAAAGCACAGGAGGACATAGAGTTTAATATGGAACAAGAAGCTGAAGAAGAATTCCATTTCCTTGATGTTGGGATCCGACGAACATCTGATGGTAAATTACATAGACATATTCACCATAAAAATACCCGGAGTGATCTATATCTCAATTACCACAGTTTCTGCCCAATGAGTTACAAAAAGGGTATTGTACGAAGCCTTTTTGACCGCGCTCAAAAAATTTGTTCAACAGAATACCTTGATGATGAAATTAATCTGATTATTAATGTTCTACGTGATAATGAACACCCAATGAAATTCATCAAGAAATATGCAATAACCAATCCTCGTACAAAATACGATGGAGTAGAAAAGAAAACTTGCTTCTTACATTTACGTTTCAAAGGTGATGAAATCGCCGGATTAATTAGTCACAGATTAAATTCTGCGTTGAAAGTGGCCTACGCAGCAGCAAAACTTACGACAGTATGGCAAACGAACTGCTCACTTCAACAAACCAAAATCGACAAGCCCTCTTTTCTTAGTAGCTCCAACTGCACATGTACGTGCCAAAGCACATACATTGGAAGAACTGAGAGAAGAGTGCATGTCCACATTTCTGAGCATGTTCCGAAGAACTTGCGGCTGCGAGGGACTAAGGCTTTCAACAGCGCAATAGCTCGACATCTACTTGATACCGGGCACACTATCGACATTCCGCATGCTTTCAAAATTATCAATAGACAAAGAAGTACGACCACCCTCCGTTTTACCGAAGCCATTGCGATCAAAAAACTTCAACCGGATTTGTGCATTCAAAAAGAGACTTCAATAAACTTATCACTACCCTGGTAACCCCCTTTTTTGTGTGTTTTGGTTATTTCGGTTATTTTATTCATTTATTTATTTTGTGTTATACTCCCCCCCCCTATTACATAATTCTTAAACCCCATTATTATTCACACATTTCCACCACCTGAACCTCTTAAATTATGTTCACTTTTCAAATTCTATTTAACTATTATTACGTAACCCATCTTATGATTATTCAATTCCATTATTACACCACCCACCTTGAATTAATTCCCTGACCTGTACTAGCATATAATTATTATTGTAATTCAGTTAGTTACATTCATTTATCCCAATCGCTTTCACACTATCTCAATGTCAAAATATTCTGTCACACTTTTTTGGTTTGTAAGCAGCTGATGAGAAACCTTGAAATATTATGAATTCATACTATTCTGTATCAATATTTGTTCTTGCTCTATTTAAATTTCAGTGGTTAAGATCATGAGTCAGTTGAAGCTAGACCACCATGGAAAACCTGGGAGCACTGGACGGCCGTTTCGTCCTATTGCGGCACTCCTCAACAGTGCGCATCCACGACCTCGCCCCCTGCGAGATTCGAACCCAGGTCCAACTGGTTTCGCGCCCGAGCACTTAACCACTAGACCACTTAGCCGACATCCATAAACGGAACCATTTGCATGCAATCCAACTTCAATAGTTTCCGCTGTACATATGAATAAATCATAATCCTATCGATTCATACTGAAAACTGTTGTTTCATATGGTTGATTTGAAGTTATCTTTCAGTGAATCTTTGAATACTAGTAACCGATAGCCTTTAAGCTTTAACTTGATATTTTGAATAGATTAGATAGATAGATCTGTGAATTGAGAAGTAATTACTGGTTATGTGGATAACATCGCTTAGATCTAAGGTTGTTTTCTGAGCTATTCAGTAAGATGTATTCATAGATATATTTGAAAATTAAATCGTTGAATTCATGAGTCAAAAAACTAGACCATCTGGAAGCACTGGATGACCGTTTCGTCCTAGTCTGTGACTCCTCAGCAGTGCACATCCAATAGTCTAGAAGTTAATTGTTCACTTAGGAAACCGATAGGTCCTAGGTTCTAATCTCACGGGCTGGAACGTAGATGTGCACTGTTGAAGAGTCTCATACTAAAAAAGAAACAGTCATCCAGTGTTTTCAGGTTTACCATGGTGATCTAGCTTAAATTACTAAAATCTCCACAAAACTCCCTTCTGATATTATTTAAAGTATATCATTATACTTACATGGTTATTGATAAATGTGATTAGTTGGTCTGAAAATGGATGAAAATACGTTTTGTTTTGTTGAATTCCATGACAATTTTCAATATCCATAAATAATACAGTAAGAAGAAGAGGAAGAAATAAAATCATTCTGCTTATTTCATAGTAACCAATTTATTCTCATTGTATTTATATTAGAAGTAAATCATTCACAAGAATGAACTTTAAACATTCAATAACATGAAATATATCTGACTAACAAGTAACAAGTAAATACACATATGATTTATTTACAAATGATAAATCTCATCAATAAGGAATCTGTACCATAATATATGTGATGGTGTATGTTACACCGTTAGGAGAATATCGAATTTAGATGGCTCAGCAAGTTGACATTGCTACGGTGGTCAAAACGCTGGAACACTAGAAATTTTGACGGAGAGTATGGTAGAAAACTGTAACGAGTAAGAAAATGACACAGAGAACAGAACAACTACACGAGCAACTGTTTAAAAAGAGGACGATTGTGGTATATGCTACTTATGTCTGTCGATATAAGTAGTATATAACACCCATCAGAAGTGGGAGGCCTGACAATAGAAGGTTGAGAAGGTTGAATTGAAGAGAATAAAGATGTAAACAGAGAATAATTGTAAGAACAACAGAAATGAAGAAATGATGAATTTTGTCAGAGAAAATTGATTTATTATGTGACTATGCAGGATACTCAATGTCCGTTGATTGGATACTATCAGTAACAACCTACTGAAGGAGAGAACAAACGAGCTTCCATCTGAAGAGGAAATTTGGAAAAGACGTTGGAGGCGGATAGAAACCATCAAACTATAACAGGAGGCAAGAGTTAACTTGGATTCGTGAAGGGAAAAGAAAAGGAGGAAAACCAAGTACACACTGCGTTGAGAATTGGATGCAGATAGAAAAAGGATGAATAGCAACCGGAAATAACTGGAAAGGAATACTCAGAACAGATGGAGAATGTTCGTTGTAGGCTTATTCTTCTCCAGGAAAGACGATAGGCGTAAGGAAGTAAGTTTTATATTTTACGACGACCGTCTGTGATTTCGTATTAAACAAAAGTTTCGTCTTTTCCATTTGATTCTTCATTACATATATAGTTCTATATGAAACGTATGATTAAGAATTTGAACTCATGTGATTGATTCGGTTCACAATTCAATTTATCCTTATTCGTACAATTTAGTCTGTCTAAAACTTATGGTTTTCATTTAAATATTGTATTAAGATGTAAATGTGTAAAGTGATAAGATACTTGGATACCACTAGGGAAAACTCTGAGTTTGCAATGTGTTATTTAAATGAATTTTTAAAATGTTTTAGCTTATATTCTCAACGATCATTGCTATCACTCTTTCCTTTTACTTCATGAACTGTAATCTTTTCTTAGCCCTCGAATGCCCTGATACGGCAGAGAGTGCGGAGAGTTAGCTCTTTCTCTCGAAATGCTCCCATATGGCCACATGCATTTAACCACCGTCAGGGAAAACTTACTCACTGCCTTCTTGCGGCATTACTGCTATTTACGAAAGTGACAATATGAAAAGCGAATGTCTGGAGCTTTGACCATGTTTGTGGATACGGAGAGTTCACATAGGGGAGTTGGAAAACCTTGACTCCAAACCAATGGTGAACATGGGCCTCAGGATCCTAAGGAAATAAATGACTTTAAATGTGGCTTCCTAAGAAAACCACATGTTTTGGTTTTAGTGTCGTGGTAGTATTCCAACTGTAGCAAGCCCATTCAACTATTGTTTTATTTGTCTACTCACTGTGATTCAGACACTTCATTCACTATGTTGATTTCTGTGTGTGTATGATTGAGCGCGTGTCTGCACATCAATCTTAATCTATTCTCCTATTGGTTGTAACATACAGATAATCAATAATTTATCCACACTAGATTGACACTCAAAAATATTTATGGATTTTTATCACACACAGGCACACATACACACTGTCGTGGTTTCACAGTGTGCTTGCTCGCTGTGCGATCGTGGATTTAATTTATCTTTAACAACAAAAATATCTCTACAACTGGTGTTCAGGCTCTTGAATAATCTCGAGTAAATCCGTAATTCTACTAGGAGATTTAGCCTACGTAGAATACTCAGTTAACGGGATATCATTTATTGGAGTGAGATATAGAGGAAATTAACCCTCAACACAACCCTCACACAAATCGGATGATTTATGTAGAGGATATTTATTTGGTGCCTTCTTGTACCATTGTTTATGTATTTAAATAATAATAATTTCTCAGTTTACGAACGGGATTACTTGGTACTCCTTAAAATGGAGATCATTTATGAATTAGATGATTCTTTCAATTTAAGCAGTTGAGATCATGAGTCAATTGAAACTAGACCACCAAGGAAAATCTGAAAGCACTGGACGGTCGTTTCGTCCTATTGTGGGACTCCTCAGCATTGCGCATCTACGATCCCGCCTCGCTGGATTCGAACCCATTACCTATTAGTCTCGCACGAGAGCGCCTAACTACTAGACCACTGAGCTGGCCGGTATCCAACGGTGTTAATGTCTCATTTCAACCAATCCACGAAGTTGAGCGAAACATCTACCATTGTCATCAGTGAGTTACTACCTCACACTGACCGAGTTGAACTCCACTGGTCACTGCTTCTCACTAGAACTCCAGGATATATATCTTGAAGCCAGTCACTAGTGAGCATATGTTGAGTAGTATCAAAAAAGGGTTTTTTGTGAACATTATATAGTAATTTCAACGGTTAAGATCATTACAGTTGACATAATGTTTGTTCATTATGAATTGATCATACATTTTCATAAAATAGTCTTGCCATATATTTTATGAAAGAACTCTGTAAATTAGTTTACCCCACCAAGTATTCATCCATAACACTTGCATCATATTAACATGAACTATGCTGAGAATGACTTGTAGCTTATGATCGCTTTACTATACATAAAAAGCATATCAGAAACGACAACCAGACTGTTGAAAACCTTCGAAATAGGTGTGACAGACATACCAACAAAATCCCTATAATCAATCCTATGCAAACTAAAGGATGAAATGACAAAAGAAGACAAATCAAATATTATCTACAAAATAAATTGTGCCAACTGTGAAAAACATTTGTACTTTTTCAAACTCCAATAAACATTTTCATTTATAATGCATCAGTCATTAATTACAGCAATGCATATCTATCACGACAGACCGGCTCTTGTTACCAATTGTGGTTTAATTGCTTCGGGACTGCATTCAGTTTGCGGAGTTAACTGAAGAACGAAATCAAAAAGATGAGTAGTAAGTCGTGGTTACTTGGTAATAAATCAGTAAGCTTGTAGTGACTTGCTTTTATCACGAAAACACGATTGGTTTAATAAAAACAATTATTATTATAACCAATTGTACCAGTGACTGTTTTGCTGTGCTCGTCTGTTTAACTGTCCTAAAGACAGCTATATTACTGCTCCATTATCTTTTGATTGTGACCTCGCACGAATTCGGTTACGCTCAGTAACCACACTTGTACTCTTTTGGCACGATCTCGGTATCCTTTCGATACCACGAGATCTCCAACAAATACATCTCGACTACAGCCATCAACTGCCTTCCGATATTTGGCTTATGGGGGATTTTATCCGTTAATTGGCACGTAGTCTTCTTGTAGTGGTGTTCATAGTCAAATGCGGCTCGACTCCACGCTACAAGCTTATCTGTACAGTACGTAACCTTGAACTCCGCCTGTAGCTCTTCTAGAGTCACTGCCGGTCCCAAGCCCGGGTAAAGGAGGAGGGTTGGGCATGGGGTTAGCGTCCCCATCCCGTCGAAAACTAACTCGCTAAAAAACGCTTACCAGAAAAAATAATTCAAACCATTTTAACTCTGCCCTGAGAGTTAGAAGGTCTTCATTTAGAAGAATTATGACGCTTCATGGTGAAAGCCGAGTTCCTTCGGAAGCCACGAGGCCGATGCCCCTTCTAATAACCAGAGCAAAAAAATTTTATAGGTACATGGAACGTTCGAACAATGTGGGAAACCGGGAAGACCAGTCAAATAGCAACGGAAATGAGGAGATACAACTTAGCAGTACTGGGAATCAGCGAAACCCACTGGACCCAAGCTGGACAGAAAAGGCTAGCTACGGGAGAGATGCTGCTATACTCCGGTCACGAAGAGGAAAATGCTCCACACACTCAGGCAGTTGCTCTAATGCTGTCCAAAGTAGCACGAAATGCACTTGTAGGATGGGAATCCCACGGATCCAGAATCATCAAAGCATCATTCAAAACAAAGAAGGAGGGGATCTTAATGAATATTATCCAATGTTATGCACCCACCAATGATAGCAACGACGACATTAAAGATCAATTCTACGAGCGGCTGCAGTCAATCATAGAGAAATGCTCAAGAAAGGACCTCACCATTCTAATGGGAGATCTAAATGCCAAGGTCGGAACAGACAACACTGGATATGAAGATATTATGGGACGACATGGACTGGGAGAAAGAAACGATAATGGAGAAAGATTTGCAAATTTGTGTGCATTCAACAAATTAGTCATAGGATGCACAATATTTCCACACAAACGTATACACAAGGCTACATGGATCTCACCGGACCACACTACAGAGAACCAGATAGACCATATTTGCATCAACAAAAAATTCCGAAGGACAATGGAAGATGTGAGAACCAGGAGAGGAGCTGACGTAGCTTCAGATCACCACCTAGTTGTAGCCAATTTAAAACTGAAGCTAAAAAATAACTGGACAAGTGGACAAACAGCACTACAAAGGTTCAATACAGCCTTCCTTCGAGATACTGACAAACTCAATGAATTCAAGAGAGCTCTCAACAACAGGTTCCAAGCCTTTCAAGATCTACTGAAGGAAGAAGAAACTACCATGGAGGACAACTGGAAAGGCATCAAAGAAACATTGACTTCAACGTGTCAAGAGGTTCTGGGCCTAAAGAAACACCATCATAAGGAATGGATCTCTATAGAAACACTGGACAAGATCAAAGAAAGGAAGAACAAGAAGACAGCAATTAACAACAGCCGAACACGAGCAGAGTAAGTCCAAGCACAAGCTGAATACATAGAAGCAAACAAGCAAGTGAAGAGGAGCATTAGAACCGACAAGAAGAAATACGTGGAAGAACTAGCGACGACG